CCAAGATTGCTAAGAGCATCACTGGTTGCCAGGAGCTGAGCGGGACACTCAGGCTGGCATCCCACCCAGCTCCTGGCAGCCAGCGACGTCAATGAGTTGGGCGGGATGCCGGACAGAGACGGAGTAAGAGGTGAGCCAGTCTGGCCCCAATTCCCCCGCATCTGCCAGTGTACGGCTAATGCTATTCACATGACCTAACCACCACTAGATGGCGCCAAGGAGAATAGGAAATTCCTATGCTCCTGGGCACCATCTAGTTGTGGTGATACTGAGCAGGGATTCATGACCTTACCTCTCTCTCCAGCTCTTTCACTCTGCTATTCAGTTGCCTCACTTTGGTCTTTTCACTCTCCAGCTCAGCGCTGAGCTCACGATTTCTTTTGGACAATTCCACAATGGATTCATTTTACTGTATATTACTACAAGGCCTCAGCATGTCCGGTATAGTCATGACATATTTGTGAATGCTCCATGCAAAACTTTTCCTAACCCTTGCAGTGGGGCTACCCCAGCACTGAGAGGGTTAAGTGCTCATTTTTGTCTAGGTGCAAAAACAGAAAAGTTATACTCGACGGATCCTTGGTTCCCTGAAGCCTGTCTCCACCCCTGCAGCAATGGTATGTCCCTCAACATCCTATACAATGAGTATAGAACGTGATGACTTGGGGATCCTTAGACCGCTGCAGGGGAGGGGGAGCGAGGCTCCACGGACTGGTCTAAGAGCCAGCCAGCCAGCTCTGAGGATTCAGTGAGTATAACTTGATTATTTTTGCCCCTAGATAAAAAAAAAAAACGAGCAGTTTTACCTCGCACTGCAAGAGTTAATAAAACATTTCCTGAGGTTCTTCTTTAACCTCCCTGGCGGTATGATTCTTTTGATTTTCGTAAATTTTTCGGCACAATTTTTTTCCGTTATTTTATTTTTTCCGGGTTTTTTTTTCGAATTTCCCGCCGGTTCCGCCCCCATGCGACGCGTACGCTCGCAAGGGACGGAACCCGGAAGACAGATGCCGGCCGGAGGACAAAGCACATCATAAACATTTTCAACTACCACCATTTTATTCTATAGGGTCTTGGCATTCAGAAAATATATAATGTTGGGGGGTTTTACGTCATTTTCAGGCCTAAAATGTGGAATATAACATGGGTGCAAAAATTTAAAAAAGGGCCTCAGTCATGAAGGGGTTAAGGGCCTGTTCACATGATGTTCAGGTCCGGATCTGCAGACGCGGTGCTACTCATGCAGGGCGTTTTTGATGCGTTTTCGGTCCGGATGCTGGCAGTTCATTTATTTAATTTATTTTTTTTAGCCGTGGGGCTGTCAGTATGCAGATTCTTCCTCTGAGGTCACTTCCGCCCTCTCGTAACATCTACTTCCCTTTGTGTATGTAACGCTGGTGATCAGACATGTATCACATGTTTGCGGGCATGTTGATGGTGCTGGCTACAGCAATCTGCAGAGAACGAGCCCGCAGGAGACATCGTTATTGGGTACACCCGATTTTGGGGCTCCATGGGTCAGTTCTGGAGTTTATATGAGGATTTGCGAGCTCACCCGGATAGATTTTTTGCCTCGTATGTCCATGGAAAGGTTCAAAATGTTTGCACTTCATGTCTTTACCTCTACCCCAATCTGTCTGTCTATCTCCCACTCTGACTGCCTTTAGGCGATCCCTAGACTCAGCTATTCAGGGAAGCCTAACCCACATCAACCTTTTCTGCTTAGCTGCGTTGCGTTTCTTTTGCGTTTTTGCCGCGTTCGTGCGTTCCCTGACCGTACAAAATGTGACATGCAATATTTTTTCTGTCGTAACCTGAACGGACTGCGCACGTGAGAACTGTAGCCCATAAAACACATAGGGATACATTGGGATGCATTTTTAGTGCAGAAGCGTACGGAGCCGGTCAGCACAGAAAACGGACGTCGTGTGAACAGGCCCTCAACACTTTGCCATTCACAAAGAACATCCCAGGATGACACTGCGACAGAGTCTGTATGTTATATCGGCCTCACGGATATTAATAAGGGGCCAGAAGAACAGCTGGAGGCAGGAGCTGTACTATCTGGGAAGGTTTGAAAAAAAGATCACTGCACATAACTAAAAGGAAACAAATGGAGAACTTTAAAAAGGAGAACTATGAGGGGGGAGGGGCTTTTCACTCACCTCATAGTTCTAGCCGTCCTGTGACAATGAGACTGTCACAGGCCGGCTCAGTAGATCGGGAGGTGAGCGAACATATACCGGCGTTCGCTCACCTCTCGATCCTGTCACGGCTCTCTGCTGTGACAGGGGAGGGGCTGGATTCCCCCCTCCCCGCCAGCGCTGACTGGCGGAACGGACGGGGGAGGGGGCGGGTACAGCTGGCTCTGCCTCTAGATAGGCAGAGCCAGCTGTCACGCAGCTGGGCGGATCCAGACATCGATGTCGTAATCCGCTCCGGCTGCGGCATCTCAGTATACCGTGAGCTGCAGCTCGCTGTATACTGAGCCTAGGGTGACGGGAGGACGCTAGTTTGTGTCCTCCCGTTACCCTAAGGAGAACTATGGGGAAAAGACTTATCCCCATAGTTCTCCTTTAAAAAGGTATTTTAAAAAATATTGGTTCCCAGAGGTGGGCTTTAAAGGGTATGAAGTGCTTCTTATTGGTCAGCGAGGTCAGGTGACCGCGTTGACCAATGAGTGCTTGCCATTTGTGAGAGAAATTAAAAATCCATAGCGCAGGGCTGCACAACATGGCAGTATGGGGTACGAACAGTACACCCGTACCGGCGGAGGGGAAGGAGCGTTCGCCAAAAGGTAAGCATAGCAGGGGAGGGGGGAGGCCAGAACGGAGCGGGTAATTCCATTTTCCCAAATTCCACTGGGAAATTGCCGAGATGAATGACCCTCTGTGGCCTGGCCAATCAAGATGGTCTGAAAATCCCAAACCGAGAAGAAGCCAGTGAGAAGATGTTGGTGCCGGCGAGGGAGCGTTCAGACATTTTATCACTGGAGCGGAGGTGAGTGTAGTCCCGTATTAAATCAAAGCTAACGCACTTTGGAACACATGTGTTTATCAAAGAATGAGTCACAATAAAGTGGCCAGATTAGGAGATATTTTTCTATACTGATTTATAGACATGTAACCTCGCAAAAAATTAATTTAGTTTCGGATCAGATTTTTTGTTTTTGTTTTTCAGATGCCAAATTCGATTCGATTCAATATTTGGATTTCGCATCGATTCAAATTTTTGTTTTTCTTTTCGGATCTATTCGGATAGGGTTCTTTAATTAAAAATGAACTCAATTATTTTTGGGGGGTTTTATTGATTATTTTAGTTCTGTATTGCTCCTCCTAGCCCACACTGCTCCTCCTAGCCCGCACTGGTACCTCTTAGCCCGCACTGGTACCTCTTAGTCTGTATTGGTCATTAGACATGTAACCTGCAAAAAAATTGTTTTGTTTCGATTCTGATTTTTTCTTTTTTGGGGTGTTAAACATTTTCCATTTGAAACCATTGCAGATCAACAACCCCCAGAAAAAAAAATCTGATTGGCCAGAGAATAGTCACATGTGCGATTTAGTTTTGAATGAGATTCAGACCGAAAATGTAATTTGTTGCAATTTGGATGAATCAGAATTTCCGAATTTAACGCAATTCATCCGACTTTCCATTCAGAACTAAAGGAAATTTACATTTCTACCGATTTATACTTCGCAGGGTTGGTGATTACCAGCCAGAGCCACCTTGTCGTCTTCTACTTTCCTCCGGAGGTGTCGAATCTCAAACTCTTTTTCCCTCAGAAGTTTGTGCAGTCGGCCATTTTCATCCTGCAGTTCCCGTGCCTGTCCCTGCAGCCGCTCGTTCTCATCCTCCAGGATCCTGTCCAAGGGGAAGAACACAGAGATGACACCACAAGCAATGGTAGAATGTGGTTCTATTTACTGCTCAGAGCCAGGAAGGACGTGAGCACATGAGCACTGCAGCACAGCTAACTGGATCTTTGTGTTGCTTATCCCTCCCATAGTCTGAGCTCTGCTGTATAGGGATTGCAAGAGGCTGATGCAAAGTCAAACTCCGGTATTTACACTGCCTGCATTTAACTAAAATACAGTGAAGCGGTGAAGTTGGATCTTAGAAGGATAAGTTCACTCTTTTCCAAAAATTAAAGAAATGTATAATTATTACTATATAAAATAATATGCATTTCCTTAATATTTGCATTCAAGCCTGGAAAGCATTGCCATCGTGATCACTCGATCAGGGCTGCAGATCTCAGGCTTCTGCACATTCTCTCCCAGGCAGAGCTCCGTACTGAGGTACGTTGTTTCAGTTAGGAGAGATGGGGGGACGGACGGCTGGACATAAAACTACATTAAATCACCTCATATGGCGTCCAGCCGTCCTCCCTCTAGGTAGATGCGGGAATATGGGCAGTTCTACCTAGAGCGAGGACGGCTGGACGCTGTATGAGGAGATTTAATGTAGTTTGAAGTCCAGCCGTCCGTCCCCCCATCACTCCTAACTGAAACGCCGTACCTCAGTACTGTAAAGGTCAACTTATCCTTTAATGTCAGCTTTAAATGTGTCCACAAGATGGCGCTAGAACCCCACAGGCTGATAAATGCCATCTTTACACATTATGGCAATTTAAAAGGAGAACTATGGGGTCAGGTCTTTTCCCCATAGTTCTCTTTAGGGTAACGGGAGGACACAAACTAGCGTCCTCCCGTTACCCTAAGCTCAGTATATAGGGAGCTACAGCTCGCGGTATACTGAGACGCCGCAGCGGATCCCGACATCGATGTCGAGATCCGCCCAGCTGCGTGAGTGACAGCTGGCTCTGCCTATCTAGAGGCAGAGCCAGATGTACCCGCTGACTGGCGGAACGGACGGGGGAGGGGGGAATCCAGCCCCTCCCCTGTCACGGCAGAGAGCCGTGACAGGATCGAGAGGTGAGCGAACTCCGGTATGTGTTCGCTCACCTCCCGATCTACTGAGCCGACCTGTGACAGTCTCATTGTCACAGGTCGGCTAGAACTATGAGGTGAGTGGAAATCACTCATCTCATAGTTCTCCTTTAACCCCTTGAAGGCCGCGCTTTTAAACCCCCTTCCTGTCCCGGCCATTTTTCAGGATTACCAAAATGAATGTTATATCTTTTTTTGGGACACATAGAGCTTTCTTTTTATGGTTTTTATTTTTTCTATACAACCTCCTGCTGTGATATGTAACATGTGTGAAGCAATCGTTGTCTTGGCATGTAGGCGCAACCGGGCACGTGCTTGAGTTTGTATTGCGTGTCCGTGGGGGCGGAGGGGCTTTATAAAATGTTTCTTTTCTTTAATATGCGACTTTTTTTTAAATTTTTTATACTTAACTTTATTGCTATCACATAGGAAGCTAACAATCCCCCCATGTGATAGCACAGATACAGTCTATTAGACCACTAATGTCACCTATGGGACTCCCAGCTTATTCTCCGGCTATGAAATGACATCGACAGCTTGGCTCCAAAAGTGATGCGATACAAATCACTTCCGGGTCCAGTGATCGGAGCGGAGATCAGCCACTAGTAATGAGCTTAACTCCCTCCAATCTAAGCCCACAGACTGGCCGTGATGGTCCCAGCCTCGCATGGAGGACAGCGGAGCCTGAGTGACATTACTCCTGCACATGCACGTGGCACCGCGGCCAAGAATTTACACTGAGCTGCCCATTCACAACTCAGTGTACATTCTAATGAAGATTTGTTCCTTCCTACTATGAAATGCATGGCTGGTGGGAGGGGCTGGCAGGATGCTGTGCATAGCCTCAGTACTCCTCTCAAGAGCCTTCATCTCTGATGCAAGAAGTGGGCTGGCTCCTGGGAGGAGTTATGCAAATATCCCAATGCCTTGATGGGTGGGTGTCAGTTTGGAGGAGTGGGCGTTCCTAGGAAAGCTGTCTTTACATGAAGATGGCCCTACATAACAGCCCCATGTGATGCCGAGTCTCTATGATTAAAAGAACTTAACCAATAAATGAAAGGGGCGGGGCCAGGGAGAGATAGGTTGGGGAGGAAAGTGCTAGAGGATGGTGGATGTCCTCCACCATGGGATTGAATCAGATTTGATCACCTTTTTCCCAGATCGCCGGAGGATTCCCTATCCAGTCGGAATAGATCTAGCTGGTCCTGAACTCCAAATGCGTCGGCTTTTTTCTGCTCCTGCCCGCTCTGCTTCTCTTTCTTCCTCTCCATCAGTCTCTGGAGACGTTTCTGTTGCTGCTCCTGAAGCGTCTTAAACTGCTGCCGCAGGTTCTCGTTTATGGCGGCGTCTGATTCCATGGCGGCCTGGAAGACAAGATCGGCGTTTGTTGCAGCCAGTGGAACCCTCCGCTATATAATACTATAATGCAGCCAGGGAGAATATACAGTAACACCCCGCCCACCCCCACCACCTTGCCTGAATGCTGCGGCAGCCAACAGCACTGGTCACATTGGTCGTACTGACCTTCCTCCTTCTTGCTCCATTTCCCCAGTCTCAGCAGTCTTTGCCCCCTGCCATTAAAAACTAAAACCCCATCCTCCTACCCATGATATTCTGCCTCCTCTCATGCCTGAGCCGAACAATTATCTGGTAAGAGCTACATCATCAGTGCCTTCCAGATCTGGTTTCTAAGCTACATCACCAGTGCTAGTCAGGGAGATCTCACTCCTAAACTACCCCTCCAGGAGAGCTACATCATCAGTGCCTTCCACCGAGATCTCGTTCTCCTAAACTACCCCCCGGGAGAGCCACATCATCAGTGCCTTCCACCGAGATCTCGTTCTCCTAAACTACCCCCCGGGAGAGCCACATCATCAGTGCCTTCCAGATCTGGTTTCTAAGCTACCCCCCTGGGAAAGCTACATCACCAGTGCTAGTCAGGGAGATCTCACTCCCAAACTACCCCCAAAGGAGAGAGCTACATCACCAGTGCCTTCCACCGAGATCTCGTTCTCCTAAACTACCCCCCCGGAGAGCTACATCACCAGTGCTAGTCAGGGAGATCTCACTCCCAAACTACCCCCAAAGGAGAGAGCTACATCACCAGTGCCTTCCACCGAGATCTC